GTGCATTGGCTCGTTTAGTTTACACTCGAAGTAGATTGGTCTCTCTAAGCGAGATCCCAATTCGTCGGTCATCCGACGTGACGTCTCCGTTCCCTCCTTCAGGGAACGAGGGTTACCATACGTAACAGAGACGTTACATTCTCACATATTCAAAGCAGATTTCTTTTGAAGTGACATGTACACAATATAATTGGTTTTTCACACAAGCGTACAGATTTAGCACATGCACTGCTGAGAAACAAGCATCTTATTAGATGTTCCAGGTTAAGAAAGGTCAACACCCCATTTGTTACTGCTGAGCTGCAGGGTGAACTGTGTGGCGCGCACGATTCTGCTGCTGCTCCAGAGGGATTGTCTATTAAAGGGCTCGCCATGCAGATGTTTTTCGACGCGGTAGCAGACATGGCTGATGAAACTATTAATTTCCTGAGGTGAAGTGTCAGAAGGAGATTTGTCTGCTTATGCCATTCAGTCCAAAAACAGTCGACCCATAACAGTGGGCTACGTATTAATTCAGGCTCTGCATAAATTTAATGCAAATGTGGATGTTTTTCAAAGTCTGATTTAATAGCATTTCATATCAGTAGTTAAAATTACTCTGAAATATATCATTTTGTTATTATCTTTTAGAATTTAAAAATAAATAAATAAATAAATAGAAAAAACAATATCTGGGTGTTTTTGTTTTTGCTAATCCTACAAATGTTTTGTATCCAAAATACAGTTAATTAAATAATTATTCATACATTTAAATATTTATTTAGATATTTCATTTAAAAATGATGTAAATATCTATTTTATTTAATATTTTATTTTAAGCCTTATACATTACAGTTTGAGCGGGAATTATACACAATAAAATATTCTGTCACTGCAATATTTTAACTATAACTATTGAATGTTTGATGATTATTTCATATTTCTGTTTGGATTATGATTATCTAAATGTAATGATGAATATCATTTATTCATTCACTCATTCATAAATAAATAAAAAAACAAACAAACAATAGAAAGTCTTGGTCTGGAACAAGGATAAAGAATAAAATCTATAAATACTGTTAAAAGCATGAATAAAAATGTAGCAAAAATATATGCTGAAGACATGATAAAAAGTTTCCAAGAAAGTTTGTTATCTTGACATAAGGAGTGGGAAAAAAACAAAACACTTCAACAAACAACTGATATGGTAATATTATTTAGATGCTATTGTAGTTTTGTACTGTTGTAGTAATTAGCTTTTATTTTTATATTTCTAGTTTCCATTTTAATTCTAGATTTTATTATTATTATTATAAATATTACTATTTCTTTTTTATTTGTTATTATTTCCATTTAATTTCAGTGTTATTCAAGTTAGTAATCTTAGTGTTTTAACTTATTTCAGATAGCTGCCAGGGCAACATTTCACATTTGTATTTAATTTAGGGTTTTCATCTAATATTTGATGAAAGAGAGAGAAGGGAACTGGGATCAGCAAAGGACCTGGAGCTGGGACTTGACCTCGGATCGCGAGGTGCAGCTGTGCTGTATGTCAGAGCGCTGCCCACAAGACTATAGCTCACACTACAAGCATTACTCTAGCCCTTTGTTACTAAGCACCAAAACTTGTTTGCGTAATTATGCCAATAATCCTACTAGAAAGGGGAAGAGAGCGAGAAAGACAAAGACTGCAATGTGGTTTGGAGGTATCTTTTTTTCCGTTTGAAACGTGGCTACTCCAGCCACAGTCAAACTTCATTGAGAGGAAGTGTGCCTTTGCAAAGACAATGCTAGCTTCTGTTTGCAGCTGTCAGAACAGAAGCAAACACTCCACACCTCTCAGCAAATGAAAGAGTGGCACTTCCTGCAAAAGAACAAAAAAGCCACACTATATACAGACTATTGTAAAAAAAAAAAAAAAGACTCATTTCCACATTTACATCCTGTTGTCATGAGCAACAAGTGGCAAGATTCATATGCAAGATTCTCTCTCTCTGTTTTTCTCTACATTTGGCAATGCACCAAATTCACAGCAACTGTTTTGTGGTTGTAACCCCCCATTTCCACTTACTTTCCACATGACCTCATTTGCATAACTCTCTCTCTCTTTCTCCCTCCAGGTGTGTGCTTTGTTCAGGAGGTTGTAAATCCGTATAGGTACATACATTTGATGCAAACAATGCATTTCATGTAGACATAAATAGAGTGGGGTCTAAAAGTCTGAGAGCTCTTTCAGTGTGAGATGTGCAGCCAGCCACTGTGTTAAAAGTGGCATAAACAGAGGATTTTATCAGGTGGAGGATTTCCTGTGGCATCCAATCAGATTTGCTAGCAGGAGGTCGCTATCCACCGGCTACTGCGCAAGCCTAAGGTTACCATCAGCCAGAAAAACCCTTATCTATTCCAAATATAGTGTTTTAGTCACAAAATATTCTTTCTTGATTCATCATGGCAAAGCTTTTACATTGTTTTGTATTGTTATAAATCACAAAGTAATAATTTGTGACATTGACTGATATTTTTTAAACAACAAATAATATTGGTTTGGGGACAGTAAGTTATTCCTTTATCATGACACATTAAATTGATTAAAAATGACAGTAAAGACATTTATAATTTTACACAATATTTCTATTTCAAATAAAAGCAGTTCTTTTGCAACTGTTTTCAACACTTATAATACTAAGAAATGTTTGTTGAGCAGCAAAGCAGCTTATTAGAATGATTTCTGAATGTGACACTGAAGACTGGAGTAATGACGCTGAAAATAAATTAAATTAATTAAAATTTAAAATATACTAAAATAAAAAAGTTATTTTAAGTTGTAATAATATTTCACAATATATGTTCAAATAAAAGCAGCCTTGGTGACCATAAGAGACATTCAAATTAATTAAAAAATCTCACCAACCCCAAACTTTTTAACTGTAGTGTAATTTTATTCTGTTTCGCTTTATGCTTTGATTTTACTAATGTGACGAATCTGGCACCAGAAATAAACTGGCGGAGTCAAGATGAGTGATGCTTTTCTGACCTCCTAATACTACTGTTTTAGAATCTGGCATGTGGTTTCGTATACTACGTGATCTGCTGCTATTTGATGTGGTTTACAGTTTGTCAGTATCACTAATTTCTCCATAGGGTTTGATTCATTGATGATTTTGTGTTGGTTGTGAAAAGGTTGAATCGTGGCGTTAACATCTCTGTATGTACTGTAAATAAGCAGTAGTTTTACAGCCTTACAGTTCCCTTCTGATCGCTGAATTCCTCACGCACCCTGTTACCCTGCTGTCGCTTGACATAACAAGGCCTTCTGATATTTAAATTGAAACAGATGGATTTGATAAAGCGTCTGAATCTGAAATTCCCCCAAGCCCGACGCACTCCAGAGCGGAAAGAAAGCAACAGAATGCTGAAGCTCACACAGACATATGGGCCAACTTTTTACTGACAGAAATAAGTCAATTAGAGTAATGAGATCATTTGAACGCCATTTCTGAATGCAGGCAAATATAGTAACATAATCATCCATGATTAAACAGTCAGGGTTGTGTTCAAATGCCCAATGAAGTTAGACTGGCTGGGGCACCTGTGCTGCATCAGTGATCTATGTTTTATACTTCCACTTCTCCTGACTGTCATCTTGCTGAAAGCCACAATGTGGAACATGTCCACTGAGGACTTATATCTGTCTTTTCCATCTTTGGAGACGTGTTTCGGTTATTTTTTGTTTGTGCATTTGTTTGATAGTCTGTTTGCCTCTTTTTCAATTTGCTCAATGTAACTGAACAGATGGAAGAAGAAACAAGTACCAAGACTGAAGAAAATGCAAAGTTCAATGGATTCATCCTAATAAAGCGTAAACATTAATTCAGGGCTGAAAGGTTGAAATCATTAATGGAAATGCGTCTAATTTGCATTATGAAAATGTCATTGCAAACAATAACATAATTTGTTTTATTTATGTTTTGTTTTTTGTTTTTTTGAAAACCTGAATTTGAAATTTGTTTATATATATTACAGTTAAGTTTGGGTCAGTATGTTTTATTAATTAATTTTTTTTTTTTTTTTTTATTTAATATTTTTATTTAGAAAGGATGCATTAAATTCATTAAAAGTGACAGCAAAAATGTAGAAATATTTTGTAACATTACAAATGTTTTATCTAAATAAATGCTGTTATTTTGATCTTTCTATTTATCAAAGAATCCTGAACAAAATGCATCACGGTCTCCACAAAAAATATGAATGAGCACGACTGTTTTCAACTTTGAAAATAATAATAAATGTTTCTTGAGGAGCAAATCATCATATTAGATTGATTTCTGTAGGATCATGTGACACCGAAACTGAACATTTTCTGAAAATTCAGCTTTGCATCACAGAAATAAATTACATTTTAAAATATATGCAAATAGAAATCAGTTATTTCAAATTGTTATAATATTTCACATTTTTACTGTATTTTTGATCAGATAAATGCAGCCTTGGTGAGCAGAAGAACATAAAAACGTTCAAAAACTTTTTTCTTTTTTCTTCAAATCCCAGATTTCCAATGCAGACTCTTTTGGACTTCTCTGTATTAACTGTACATGTGTTTACATTTTAAAATAAAGGTCAGAATTTGATTGATGACATCAGACAATTCTGAGTCAGATACAGCTTTGACGTACAAGAACGTCTGAATGAGAAAATGTGTGTATGTGCAAAATGTGTAATATTTGCAAATAATTGCAAAAGAGTCAAACTACACTCCCAAAGTAATGACAGCATTACAAAGAACAGTAAGCTATGCCAACCATTAAACAAACAGCACTTACCCAGCATTAATGAAGACAAAAAATAAATAAATAAAAATGGATGTAAAGGAAGTCAAACAGGCACTGAACAATCTTTGAGAACAGCAGGATATTAAGCATTTACACAGATAGTGGTCAATCTGCAAACAAGGCGGACACTTGTTTGACATTTTTTTCCACCACAAGAGAACAAAGATGAGCCACAACTTTCCACTACGTAACAGAGGAATGAAGAAGTTAGCTGCTGGTTTGCAATATTCACAGCACAAAATTAACTAGATGTGTCAGACTAGTGAACAAGCCTATCTCAGTGTAAGCGTGTCAGCTTTGTAGAGACGGTGTACCAAATTAGTTAGTATTTACCTCTATTGCTGGCCATGAGTTATGTTTTTTGCATGTCTTTTTCACAGAAACTGGCAGATGAGCTGGCAGTGTGACCTCTGTAAGGTACTTCACCAGATTTCTGAAACCAGCTCATCCATCAGAGCAGTTCCTCAAGCAACTGACTTTAGTCTTATTTGCGTTCATATTAGTGGTTTTGGAATGATTCTTTTGAATTGTACAGACTGTACACTGTCTTACCAGTTTCTCTGCTGCAGTAGAGAGTGTTGTCCGCCATCGTGGCATCATGAGATTCAGCATGTAAACTGTTTCCTCTCACTGCTCCTCGCTCTGTCATATATACAGTATATATATATATATATATATATATACTAAAAATATTTATAAATATAAAAAAAAAAACTAATGAATGTCAGACACACAATAAAAATTTAAAAAATGAATCACATCAAAATGAAAACTGAAAATATACAAATAAAAGCTACAGTATTTCAAAATATTAATAAAATCTACAATAGTATATGAATAATACTAAAATAACACTGATCCGCTCTAATATGGTGATCACAGGCAAGCGCAGGTAATCATCAAACCATTAGATTCACCTACGCGCATAATTTGTATTGCATAAAGAGTAATTTTTTTAACCACAGATGGTGATAGATAGGCCAAAGTCCTGCAGTGCAACTTTAATGTCCAGTATAAAATATGGGCCATGAAAAAAATAAATTAAAATTGTTGAGATTCGCAGTCCTAAAACACTCAAAATTGTTACAACACAAAACACTCACTACAGTTACAACACAATTACAGTTACAACAGCAGAATATACTCAGCAAAATATACTCTTTTTCACACTGTTCACTGTATCAGCAAGTGTCATTTTCAGTGGTATGTGCTATGGAAATTCTCATTGCACTTCTTTATTTTTGCACCAGCTGAAATACTGTTTAACCTCACCACAAGACTTTGGACAAATGGCCTTTGTTGAAGAACCGCTTTCTGAGCCAACAAAGTGATCATATTATGTTGCACAACAGAAACCTTCTTAGCATAAAGCCGTATTCATTTCCCCCAATGCATTACATCAAGCTCTTCCATTCCACACAGCATTCCTCATTCAACAGCCTCAACACAGCTTCTACTGCTGACTTTCTGTAGCACTACTTCAGATTCAAATTCTCAAAGACAGCGGCCTTTTTTAGGAAAAAAAGCTACAAAGCTGGAGGAACCTGAGACATCATACATAAGCTCAGCATTCCCATTGGTCAACATCAATATGTTGAAATCCATAGCTGAATGGTCCATTCAATCTATCTATCTTGAGAATCTAACTATAGTAGCTATGTATCTATCTGTCTATCCATTTATCATCTATCAATCCATCCATTCGTTCATTTACCTATCTATCCATCTATAGTATCTAATTACAGTATCTAAGTATCCATCTATCCATCTATCTATCTATCTATCTATCTATCTATCTACAGTATCTTACTACAGTATCTATGTATCTATCATCCATCAATCTGTTTGTCTGTCTGTCTCTCCATCTATAGTATCTAAATCTATCTATCTATCTATCTATCCATCATCCATCCATCCATCCATCCATCTGTACATTTTCCTATCTGTCTCTCTTCAATAAAAAAATACAGTTTTTAATTGCATTAATAATAAATAAAGTTATTAATAAAGTTAATAATCATTACATTTTATTTCAGTCTCCTTACATTCAAATTTGAATTGCAATACTACATCCTGTTTTCTATCGCAATCTCAATTCAATTCTGAAAGGTGCACAATTCTTGCTGGCAAGCAATATCATCTGGTAAAATGCCACAGTAGGAAACCCAGCCATATCTAGGGACCAAAACAACATTTCAGCCAGAACACCCTTAGGAACCACTCACATGTACTTCAGAAGGTGTTAACATGTCGTTCAAGTGGATATGGAACTAAAGAGAAGGATTTAATAAAAGCGCATATATATGTTAGCTCCATCAAAAGAGTGTGAGGTCAAACCACTAGGTATGTCATACTAGTAGGTACTGCTGGAGTGTTAACATGAGAAGTTATAATTAGAGAAACTTACATAAGGTCGACTTTTTGGGTACAGGCCCCTTTGCTCAGAGCACACTTCTTAGCCCATGTAATGTCACAAAGCATTTACTGTAACCCATGGCCAGAGTGGAGCAAGAGTGAGGTTTTACATGTTGTAACTGTCCGAAGAGAGGTTATGTACTTTTAACATCTATTAAGTCAATGTTACTTGGTAGTTACTTCCATTATTTAAACTATAACTGTCACTCACAACACAAATATATTGTACAATAAGATATGAAAACAGCTTCCTTTCTTAAAAGATAGAAAAAAACATTCACTTGAAACAGAAGCTCTTCTTTGCACAAGCATTAACTAGAGCAGCATGAGAAACTCCACGAGTCACACGAGCAAGTTTCTGATCAGCTTTGAAGGGCTTTTACATCTGCTGAGGTGACAAAAAACCTTGGCAAGCTGCTGCAATTTGAATCCTCACGTCTGCAGAAATTTTAGCATAAGCAGTTGACAGGATTTCAGCAAAGACAATATAGTCTTAGCTGATGGCAGAAGTAAGCATAAATGTCTGTTACGCTGGCATGCAACAAGAACTTCAAAAACGCAACTACAGTTACAAAGCCTGGAATGAAAGACAGGACCAAACCTGGAAACTTTGATATAACCGCTCTGTACTTTTGCAATCAGGTGTCAAGTGAGGCGTTGCACCACAATATTCCAAAACAGGAAAAAATACAAATGTTTTTAAACGCAGTGTTAAATACCGGAAAGGCGATTTCACACAGTTTCTGGATCCAATCCTCCAGTTCAGCTGTCTCAACGGCAAAAACAAATGTCTTTTCAGTTGTCTCCACCAAAAAGGGTCCACAATCCTGTGGACAGCCTTCGACATCAGCCTCCGAAACGCGAATGCAGTCATTCATTTTTATCACCTGTTTAAACACACACATACACAAATTAAACTCAGAAATTGAGGTTTAATAAAAAAATTTCGACAGTCTTATTTACTCATAATATGTCTGTAATAAACTGCTTAAATATTTTGATGAGGTGAGTCTGTTTCATACACATCAGCATTTAAATATGCTTCAATATTTGCCATTTGAGTGGGTAGGTTGATGCATGAACGTTTTTTTTTTCTTCTTCTTCTCAGGACTGCTCATTACCCATACGCATTAATTTCAGAAGATAACATTTCTGTGAAAATCCTTTCTACTTTTTTTGGAAGAGGGAATTTTTGTTTGTCATATTTCTTAGCAAAAATGGAAACAGATTTAATGGTACTTCCTGCAAATTGTTTGTACATGTCCGCCCACACATAAGCCATGTGCATGACCCCCCACCGAGTTTGATTGTTCATGTAACATGGCACATCACTGATCTACATCACTCTCCTCAAACACGCCACATCTTATTTGTTATGTTTGCAATACAGGGAAAATCTGAGCTCCACGGGTGTTGCTCACCTTTTTGTTTTCCTGTTTGCGGTTGGATCTCTCCAGCGTGTTGCCAGCTCCATCTTTACACTCAAAAAACTCAAGGCGAGAGATGGAGCAGGAGCTCTCTCGGTGCAGCACGGACCAGACCTTTCGCCATTTCTGAAACAGAGAGAAGATAGATGGCTGAAAGTGATGTAAACTATCACACTTTTTAATTTGCGTTGTCCTCTAGGCATGAACAAAATTGAGATATAAAACTAATGGACCTTATTATATTTCAGGATGTCTAATATCAAACAACATTAAAAGAAAGCACCTAACATATCGTCTTGTGACAAAACTTGATTCAAATGTTGATGAGTAGGTTGAATCACTGGGTCATATGATTTACATTTCAAACTTTTTCCCCAAAAAACAAATTAATCATGCACAATCCTATTTTAAAATCTCATCTTGATGCACATTATTCACACTATCATAAAGCAGCCAAACGCAGGTTTAATATTTTGGCCATTTTAATGTAGTGAAACGATTAACATACTTAGTATTTGTAATATTAATACTATTTTTAATAGCATGCCTGTGTTTAGAATCAAAGTTTACAATCACTGTTAATTCAAATAAAAAAATATATTATAACATTGGCACAGCTTACCCCAAAAGATGTGACACACTTTACCCCACGCTATTTTGTTTGTTTAATAATTAATTGCTTAGTCTTTAGCCAAATCATTTACATAGTTTTATAAATTAATGTATATTTTTAAACCATAAAATCTTCTGCTATGTCGAAAATTTACATTGACAGGCAAAAACAGTTTCTTAAAGTTACTCACATGCATCTCTAAATCACATATGATGATCCCTTTTCTAAATATATGGATAAAAATAATGCACAGCTATATTAAAGGAGTGACATATCTTACCCACCGACACACTCTACCCCACTCTTCCCCATAGTACAACAAATATAGTTTTCATAATGTCAGTGATGTTACCAACAGTTTTGCACTTTAGCACTTTGTTTTTGACCTTAAAATGGGAAGTGGTTAATGTAAAATTAGCCAGAGTTCATCTTCCTACAATGACAACATGAAGAATTTTAAACTAAAAGTTTTCCCCAATGGGAAAATGTGTATACATGTCAATAAGGCACACATGTAGAATACCGATTAAGATCATGAGAATGTATTCCAGCTTTAAGATTGGCTCAAGTGCCTGAGGATGGTTGGATCATAGGAGCATTAATTCACGGTATTTAAAGTGTGAGATTCCTCAGTCAGGAAATACCCGTAATAAGATGTAGAGTTTAGAGAATCTCTGTGGTACGGCATTACCTACCATTTCTGAGAAATTCATGCCCTCAACCAGCACATAATCTATTACAGATGCAACACCCTCCTTGTGGCTTCCTAAAGAGACAAGCCTGATCCTATTGCTAACATTAGCTCACTTTAATGGACTCCAGCAGCCCATAAGTCCACTAAATTATGCCAACAGGTTATTCATCTACTGCAGTCCCATATGGCAGAACTAACAATATTATCAGTGACATCAATCAAAATGAAGTGAAAATGGTTTTAGATGAGAATATGAACAAGTTAAAGTGGATCACGTTCACAGTTCAGGAAGTTGTTCATGACACTGCCAGTGAGCTTAATGCAATCCATGAATTTCTCTCTTATTGTAATTGCTCTACTGATATGGAGTATTTGTCGACAAACGTGGTTCAAATTAGGCAAAGTGAAGGCTGCTCATTGAAATGTATAAGCCCAGCAAGCTGCACACAAAATTATAATGTAGAAGTCTTTTTTTTTTTCAGTGGTATTTATCTTTTTTATTCACTTGTGAATTGAAATATAATTTCTGTCACAATAACACACATAAAAACACATACATGTACACCCTTATAAAAACAGGAACCTTTAATATCTGATCCCCAAATCTCTATCCGTTATTTCAGTATTGTATATTTTGATGCAAGCAGTGTCAAACTAATTCAACCAATCCATTACGTTCCCCACACTGTAAAAATGTTGTAATTTAATGGCAAAAGACTGTAAAAATGCTATGGTAAAAACCTGTTGATTGGTTAATGTTAAGTTATTAAGTTACTGCATTATGGTTTTAATGTCTGTTACCATGATGGTGTTTTATATTTGTGTGCATGACACTGTGTGTACCTTCAGTATTTTAGTATTTACTTCATCTTGTGGGAAAGATAATTGTGAAGAGCTGTGATTCTTTTTTCATGACCACCTGTGTTTTTTGGTGGTTGTCAATGTATTAGATTTTAGTACTTCAGTTGGCTGTTATTTACCATTATATAGCAGCCATATCACCCTGCTGCCCAAAGACTGGTTGCCCACTGAAGCTAAGCAGGGTTGAGCCTGGTCAGCCTGGTCAGTACCTGGATGGGAGACCTCCTGGGAAAACTAGGTTGCTGCTGGAAGAGGTGTTAGTGAGGCCAGCAGGGGGTGCTCACCCTGTGGTCTGTGTGGGTCCTAACGCCCCAGTATAGTAACGGGGACACTATACTGACAAAAAGCACCATCTTTCAGATGAGACGTTAAGCTGAGGTCCTGACTCTCTGTGGTCATTAAAAATCCCAGGATGTCCTTCGAAAAAGAGTAGGGTAACTCTGGCATCCTGGCCAAATTTGCCCATTGGCCTCTGACCATCATGGCCTCTTAACCATCCCCATATCTGCTGATTGGCTTCATCACTCTGTCTCCTCTCCACCAATAAGCTGGTGTGTGGTAGGCGTTCTGGCGCAATATGGCTGCCGTCGCATCATCCGGGTGGATGCTGCACACTGGTGGTGGATGAGGAGATACCCCCCTTCTATGTAAAGTACTTTGAGTGTCCAGAAAAGCGCTATATAAATGTAAGGAATTATTAATTAATTAATTATATCAGTTAATTAATTGTTTTTTGTTTTTTTTTTACTGTAAATGACTGCAAACCTAAAATGCTGCTACCATATTTTTTATGGTAAAGTTCTGGCAACCACAGCTGCCATTTTTCTGACAGTGAATTTAACTTTTACAGTGCATGTTAAAAAGAGAAACAACTGAAGTGATCTATATGCTTGCACTGGAGTACTACCCATCATCCAGAGTACATTAGTGGTTCCATTCCATGAGGCCTTAATGTTTGCATAGATACCAAAAAACTAATTTACAACCTGCTTTATTATTTTATTATATTATATTATATTATATTATAATATTATGTTATATTATATTATATTATATTATATTATATTATATTCATCTGCAATATGAATGGCTGCTCTGCAATTTTACGTACAACACACTCAATATTGTAGATGTTATACAGGAAATAAAAAAGGACCAACTGTCCAGTAGTACTTTGCAACAGAACATTTTGAAATTATTTGACATTAAAAAAATAGGATCCAACAAAAGGGTTTTTACAATATTCAAGAATATCATTATTTTGTGGTCATTTATATAATGAAGCAGCTACATCCTGCAGTCAGGCCAACTGAGTCTTTTAGTACAGCCTTCATTTTGTTCTATGATAGACCATTACCGTGAAAGAACACGATTGTTCTTTGATATTGTCTCTTAACGTTTCCCTGCCTCAAAGTCCCCTGGTAAGTAAAGCACGTTCTGTCTTACCTTCCCAAACCGCTGCTGTTGTAAATACAGCATCCCCTTCTTTCTAATGTCCTCCTCCATTTCTCTCGGTCTTGTCTCCAACCCAGCTCCTTAAGACTGTCTCATCTAGTGTATCATACTTCTGCTAAACTTGCCTGTGACGCAAACAGCATCTCCAAGTTCCGCCATATCTACTTCCTGTATAGCCCAAAAGAGTTTAACACTTCTTTGCAGAGCTGTGCAAGAGCCAAAGCCACAATGATTACTTAAGATCATGAGTTTCCTCGTGTTTTTTTGTAACCAAATGAAAGGAAACAGCATTGTATTTTAATTTTTTTTTAACATCACAAACTTTTTAAACCCAGACAATTAGGCAAATTAAATCATTTTAAAAATGTTTGGTTGACTCCATGAGGCCTGAGTGTTTCCATATTATTGTCTTATATTATTTTGTTGAGAATTTAAGCAGTAAATTGTTAATCATTTTTTTAAATATTAAACAAGAAAGTAATGTAAATAACGTCACTGATTTATATTTGTCACATAAGAGCTATTTTAAGATCTGAGGTCTTATTTTTCAGGGTCTGTGGTCAACTGCAAACTTCCTGTTCTATGGTGTGTCAAGTTTCCATCTCTCTCTCTCTCACACACACACACACACACACACACACATCACCAACTTACCATATTATATTATATTATATTATATTATATTATATTATATTCATCTGCAATATGAATGGCTGCTCTGCAATTTTACGTACAACACACTCAATATTGTAGATGTTATACAGGAAATAAAAAAGGACCAACTGTCCAGTAGTACTTTGCAACAGAACATTTTGAAATTATTTGACATTAAAAAAATAGGATCCAACAAAAGGGTTTTTACAATATTCAAGAATATCATTATTTTGTGGTCATTTATATAATGAAGCAGCTACATCCTGCAGTCAGGCCAACTGAGTCTTTTAGTACAGCCTTCATTTTGTTCTATGATAGACCATTACCGTGAAAGAACACGATTGTTCTTTGATATTGTCTCTTAACGTTTCCCTGCCTCAAAGTCCCCTGGTAAGTAAAGCACGTTCTGTCTTACCTTCCCAAACCGCTGCTGTTGTAAATACAGCATCCCCTTCTTTCTAATGTCCTCCTCCATTTCTCTCGGTCTTGTCTCCAACCCAGCTCCTTAAGACTGTCTCATCTAGTGTATCATACTTCTGCTAAACTTGCCTGTGACGCAAACAGCATCTCCAAGTTCCGCCATATCTACTTCCTGTATAGCCCAAAAGAGTTTAACACTTCTTTGCAGAGCTGTGCAAGAGCCAAAGCCACAATGATTACTTAAGATCATGAGTTTCCTCGTGTTTTTTTGTAACCAAATGAAAGGAAACAGCATTGTATTTTAATTTTTTTTTAACATCACAAACTTTTTAAACCCAGACAATTAGGCAAATTAAATCATTTTAAAAATGTTTGGTTGACTCCATGAGGCCTGAGTGTTTCCATATTATTGTCTTATATTATTTTGTTGAGAATTTAAGCAGTAAATTGTTAATCATTTTTTTAAATATTAAACAAGAAAGTAATGTAAATAACGTCACTGATTTATATTTGTCACATAAGAGCTATTTTAAGATCTGAGGTCTTATTTTTCAGGGTCTGTGGTCAACTGCAAACTTCCTGTTCTATGGTGTGTCAAGTTTCCATCTCTCTCTCTCTCACACACACACACACACACACACACACATCACCAACTTACCATCCAGACAAAGAGGGGTGCTTTACTGACCACTGTCTGCATCTCTCTAGCAGTTTTAGGATAGACAAAGACTATCAATTAATCATTGTCTTCACAAGTTAAGCATGTCTTGCATATTAAATAATTTATTTAATGAACACAATACCAGTTATAATCTTACTGTGTAACTGGTTAATATTTGGCATGTGTACATTTATTTTAATGTGCGCCAAAGAACAATGCTAGTGATGAGTTTCTGTAAAGCTGCTTTAAAACAATATGCAATAGTAAAAAAATAAATAAATAAAAAATAAAAAAAACGTTTATATGCGTTTGTAGTTTAGGTTATAACATTTGTAAATGCCGCTAATATGAAATGCATTTAAAGGGGTCCTATTATGCTTTTTCACTTTTTCAACTTTAGTTAGTCTGTAATGTTGATGTTTGAGCATAAAAAAGATCTGCAAAGTTACAAAGCTCAAAGTCCAATTCAAAAGGAGATATTTTATTTAACAGAAATCACTTTTCAAAAACTACAACGAATAACTCGTTTGGACTACAACGCATATTTTCCGGTTTTTGTGATATCACAAATACCGACGAATGGGACGAGACCTGGTTGAGCTGCACTAGAGAAGGCAACGAGTGTTATCACTATGTCGGAGACACACTAGCTTTCCCAAGGCAGACAAACTTAGAGTGGTTACAATCATCCGGGTTTAAATCACGCTGAAATTTATTTGATTTTGACGCAATACTTACACTGAAGCTGGCAGGCAGCTATGGTAAAGGGCGTGACATTTCCCGACCAGGCGCCAAGTGCTGCCAATCACAGCACACACTGGCCCAGCTAACCAATCACAGTACATTTCGTATTTCAGAAGGCGGGCCTTCATTTGATACAGGAACTATTCGAGCCGTTCATCAAAGTTGCCAAGTCCGCGTATTATACGCGACTTTGGGCTTCTTTTTTTGTAAAGTTGCGTGAAAAAATCCCGGGTCGCGGGTTGCGTTTTTTTGGGCTTATTTTAAAAAATATGGTTGCTTGTTAGGAAAACCTGACAAGCAACTTCGTTTCTTTTCATTTATGTTCACTGTATTCTCCAATGCATTGATTGACACTCTGTCTGCTCACAGTTAATAGCCAATCAGTGCAAAAATATAAGTGCTGTAGCGTAATTTGTCAAATATTCTGCCCCCTCCGCACTCGCCTTCTTTTTGAACGTGATTTTTCTTCAATGAGGGATTGAAGAAAAATCACGTTCAAAAAGAAGGCGCGTGACGTTGTAATCCAAGCGATGATAGTAGACGTAAAGGAGTGGGATGACTTTTTTCCTTTATAAGGTAGCCTCATTTTTTTTGTAATGTATTAATTATCACGGGCTGTAAAAAAAAAAAAAAAAACAAGTAGGCCTATACTAATACTAGGAGCAGATTTGGTTCAAATAGCCAATGTTTTAGTAGGCTATAAATATGTGGCTATGTTACAGCTCCCCTTTGAAGCTCTTGTGTTTTTCTCCTTTTCTATCTCTCCAATCATATTCTGCGTACAGGTGATTGGAGATGAGTTTTGTTCCTGCTTTGTTGCAGTTTGCTGATTTTTGTAAAATAACTTATGTTTTTGCTTTTCAGATAAAAGGGTAGTTTCAGTTTAATATGTTGCGGGCTCATTTATTGGT